GAGGCTATGCTGCCCTCTGGAAGTTTCTCGAACCAAGTTAAGCCTAGGTCGCCAAGGCTATATGGGAAGAGTATGCACATTAGGGCCTCGTTTCGCCTGTATACAGCCATGACCTGGCGAAAGTGGCGAAAGTGTGAGTAGGGGTCCGTCTTCCCTTCATATGTAGTGAATTTGGGCTGAAGGAAGCCTGATGGTAGGGGAGCGGATGATCTGGGTAATTCCGTCTGTCTAGATCTGGTTTGGTGCGTATGTGAGGGCCAATACGTGCTTCCTTCAGTGTATGATCTTTCAGATCTCGTCCTCTCAAACCTGGAGTGACGAGTTCTGGAAGACCAGGATTGAGTATTGCCTATTCTGAGGCTTCTACTCTCTCCTTGCGAGGGTGTGGTATTCCTACTACGATTTTCTGAGTGGCGAGGGGGCGTCTTGTTTTTGTGCCCCTCTCCTGTCGCCACTTCTTTTCTCTTCATCTGGCGCTTTAAGGCCTCCATGTCCGCCGCCATCTTCCTTATTAATTCATCTTGCTCTTTCACGCAGTCTTCCAGAGTTTGAGGATCAATCCTCCGTCTTTGCCTGTCAGGACTTTGCGAGCGAGATTGACGGGGCTGTGAGTCCGTCTTCCCCTAGTATCTCTCCTGGGGTTATGCCGTTGGGGCTCCAAATCTGCCATGGGAGGGATAGAAGGTAATCCTTCACACCTTGCTCCCCCATCTGGAGTTTGCCCGTCGATGGCGGAATGTGGCAATTCTTCAATGTGCGCCATTGTTTGTAAAGAGGAGAAGCTTTTAGTCAAGAGGTTTTGTTCTGTCTGTAATTCCCACAGACGGCGCCAATTGTACGGGAAAGAAATAAACCTTCTCGTATAATCCTGTTGACCAAGTCTACCCTCCTCCGTACGTTGTCGCTTTATCACCTGAAAACACAAATGTGAGCTAGCCGGCGGGTGTGTGCCGGAAACCTCTCCGATGCCTAAGTCAGTAAACTTGACAAATAGACAAAAGCTCTGTGTATTCAGAAAGCAAAGTTGTGTGTTACCTCTCCCAAGGTGATGTTTGTGAGCTTTTATAGGTTTCGTCTGGCACAATCCTAGTAGGACTTCTATTCCTCCATGCAGAGTCCTCCTATGATTCATACTCCTGTAGGATAATGCTTATCCTTTAACACCCCCCTTACTGCTTAAACCAAGTGAGATGATTTTATCATGGCCGAACTCCAATATGACCGAAGTAAATATGTTTATGTTCAGTCGAAGAGTAAGCCGAACTAATTCTTCCTTTTATTGCTCTTAAGGCGGCTCCTCATGCACAACCCATTGCGCGGTCAGACCGAACTAATATTTCGAGACCAGTGTAACTTTAAGACCGGTCTAATTCCAAGGAGCCTTTAGACCGATCTAACTTCGATCTCCTACTGGACCGGTCTAGCTTCACGTCCTTAGGCCCGGACTAACTCCAAAATAACGCACGACCGGAGTATCTTATATGGCCATTTCACTTCGGCCCTTTATACTGTGACTCATAACGGCCCATCACCTGGCTCGGCCCAATTTTCACATAAATTACCCTCTCAATTAACTTATTAACATATTTAAAATTTGCATGTCTCATACGCATATTTCTCCTAACATTGTTCTTGAATTAAAGATCTTTAGTTGACTCACGATGAATTAATTTTAATGATCATAATTATTTTTCATATAAATGATTCATATAAAAAAATTATATTACGTAGTATTTTAGAAAGTTGATAAAAAGTTAATTTTGTAATTTTTTTTGATTTTTTTGTGTTAAAAAATAGAGAGACAATGTGACCTAAAAAAATTCAAAAGTAAAAAAGTTGACTTTTTCCAATGTTGCCAATTGAACATGACTATGGTTCAACAATTAATATACTCATGGTGTATAGTACCACCAAACCTCATAAAAAAACACAAGTGGGGATGAATAGAGAAATTGGAATTGTGACATTTAAATAAGGTTTGGCTTTCCTTCAGTTTGAGGGTACTGTTGAACTCGTGGAGATTTATCATGCGTCCCATTTCGATAATCCAAATCGTTCAATATGTAAAACTCGTCGAGTATTATATGCCTGTAAAGAATCATGTTGATCAAATATCGATAGTTATATGATCAAATCAGTTTTGTATAAAAAAAAATGAACGGCGAAAAAATAAACGATTGACATAAATCTAATTTGATGAAATAACTATCGATATTCGATCAACTTAATTTTTTTACAGGCATATAATACTCGATAACTTTTACATATTAAACGATTAGATTATCAAAACAAGACTCGTAATAAATCTCCAGCCTAACAATATCCTCTAGCCTAATTTGATACGGGAGAGAAGCCAGCCGCTTTAAATATAACATTTGGGAGGCTATCTTGCTGCAAGTGGATGATGGTTTATAATTAAATACTGTAGACAATTAGCATATAAAGAATACCAAGTGAGGTTGAATAGACATGGAATGCTTTATTAGTTAATTAATTAATATACGCGTAATATTTTATACATTAATTAATATATTAATTAGTATATCAATACTAATTATGATATAATTATTAATCTTACTCATTATATAAATTATAAATATTAAAAATTTCTTAAATTATGTTATATTATTAAATAATACATTAATTGATATATATTGTATTATTTATTAATAACATTAGAAGAGAGAGAGACTGTCTTGAATCCAATGAAAGTGGAGTTTATGAAATACGTACCTCCCATTCTTTGTACCTATTATTATAAATAAAGTAGAAAAAGATAACATAATAGAATTGTTAAATCGAATGTTTAACTTTCTTCGTCAACCGGACTCTTACCCATAGAAGACGTTAATGCTCTATAATTATGTTTGATTCATAACATAACATTAATAGTGAAGTATTAATAATTTTATTAAATTAATGTGGTATTCATTATCTAATTAGATTAATATCCATCGAATTAACAATCTCACCTCTGTCCCATTACTAATAATCCTACACATTTGTAGGATTAATTATCCGTTGAATTAATAATCTTAAACCGAAATGTTAAAACAAATATAGGATAATTGGGTTCACAGATTAATAATCTCAATCACATGTTCTAATCCACCCAATCAAACATGTCCTATATGGCATCCGTTTAAAAAGTTATTTTTAATTATTTTTTTTTCAAATCCCTCTAATTTAGAAAGATTTAAAAAATTTATTTTGAAAAAATTCAAAAAAAAAGTTAATTTAATTTAGCTTTTTTTGTATTTAGTAGATTTTTAAACTTTTTTTTTCCTTTATACTTTTCAAATATGTCTAGTCTAATAAAACTTAAACATATAAATATTTTTTAAATTTATGTTTAAAAATTTCATGGGCAAATTACAAACACCTCCCTCGAGGTTTAGTATAAATACAGATTCCTCCTTGAGGTTTGAAAAATTACAAATTATCTCCTGAGTGTCAAATTTTCATAACAAATTAGAAAAAATTAGAGGGAATCTGTATGAAAATAAAAGTCTCAGGGGCGGGATGTAATTTCTCAAATCTCAGAGAAGAATCTGTATTTTTACCAAATCTCGAAGGAGGTGTTTATAATTTGCCCAAAATTTCACTAAAAATAGAAAAAATCAACTCTAAAACTTTAAAAAAAAAATAGAAAAAGAAAAAGAGAGCAACTTTTCAAACCCCGTCTCAAATTTATTTGGAGTCGTGTAAAAGAAAATCTTAAAGATATTGATTAGAAAAATGTTTGGTGTCCTGAAAATATGTGACTTAAATAGTTTGAAAATGACAAAATGACGTCGTTTTACACCTAAATTGACGTCGTTTTACACCTAAAACGACGTCGTTTTTGTTGTTTCGAGCCATTCGAGTCACATATTTTCAGGCCACCAACCATTATTGTATTGATTAATAAAGTTCTAAAATAATTACTATATGTTTTGAGTGGTGTTACATACACCAAATAGTGTACTAATTAATGTACGAACACTAATTATGACATTATTATTGACCCCACTCATTATATAAATTACAAATACTAAAAATATCTTAAATTATATCACATCATCAATTAATATACTAGTTAGTGTACTAATTGGTGCATATAACATTAGATATTTTTTTTCAGTGATGCTACATGTACCAATTAATGTGCACACTAGTGTACCAATTAGTGTTATGCCATTATTACTGACCCCGCCTATTATATAAATTATAAATATTCAAAACTTCTAAAATTATGTCAGATCATCTATTAATATATTAATTGATATATATAGTATTATTCGTAAGTTTTTACTACATGTACTTTTATAAAATATCAAATAATTATATATTTTTTACTTTATAAAAATATATATATATATATATATAATTTTTTAACCAATATTCTTAAAATACTAATTACAACAATCCATTTATAAAAAATCTTACTACACCCATACATTCACAAAGTATTTCCTTAGCTCAGCTTCCAAACACACCTTAAAAGAAAAGAAGAGAGATTTAATTTTTTATATTTTTTTATTTGTTTTATTATTTTATATAAAAATAATTTAACAATTCTTCATTATTAATCCCCTTACTATCAATCTCCTCACTATTAATCCCCTCACTATCAATCCCCTCACTAACAATCCTCTCACTATTAATCCCCTCATTATCAATCCCTTACATTCTATCTCCCAAAACAAACGGGCTTAAAAGAAAAGAAGAGAGAGAAAAACCACCTTGTGGGTTTTGGTTTCCTGTTTCTTGCATTCTTAGGTTGTTTTTGGTTTCCTCATTAAGGAATGGTTTTTGGGTAAAATAAGAAGAATTAGATTAGGAACATTGAATTAATACTAATTTTTTGGATTTGGTTCATTGCATGTACCTTTTTCAATCTTTCATATTAATTAATTAATTAAAATATGACCCCACCACCCTTCTTGTTCATTGCATTATGCCCCCCTCTCTCTCTTTCTCTGTCTCTCTCTCTCTCTCTCTAATAATAATAAAGTTTTGACAATAAAAATGATCACACACTTACACACAACATTCATTGAACCATCTTCTCTCTCTCCTTTCTCTCCTCTTTTTTTCCCTGTCAATTGGGGTTTCAGATGACCTCTTGCCTTCAATCTCATTAATGCATTCATCGTTTCAACTTATATACGTTGCTTTCATAGTCTTGTTGTTCGTGGATTTGCTCTTTTTTGCTCTCGATCGAGAGTTTTTGGGGCTCGCACGGTTCATTTTCCAGCTCTACCCATGTCGAAACTCTTCGATTTCAGTGGTAAGCCTCCGATCTTTTTGGGTCTTTTCCCTCAATTTTGTCTTTTTAGGTTTATTCCCGTCTTCTTGTTCAATCTTGTGGTGCTAACTAGCCATATATATATATATGTATATTTTTTTTTTTGGATTTTGAATTGGTTGTGTGTCTTTTGGTGGTCTTTGTGATGTTTTGTTATGTGGGTTGTCTTATTCTGTTCATAATTGAGAAGATTTTATTCACAACTTGATCTTTGATGATGTCAAATTTGGGGATTTGACGATAAATCTGTGAAATCTGATGGTAAGGGAAATCATTCTAAGCCAAAACTATAAGGAAAAATTTTGGATTTTGGATTGGTTGAGTATCTTTTGGTGGTTTCTGTGATGTCCTATTTGTGTTCATAATTGAGAAGATTTTTATTCAAAACTTGATCTTTTAGAATATCAAATTTTGGGGGTTTGATGATAAATCTGTGAATTCTGATAATAAGGGAAATCATACTAAGCCAAAACTATTAGGAATATGTTTGACTGCTTCTGTATTATCAACTGCTGAAATTTCTTTTGTTCTTGAGCCTTAGTTCGTTTTATGTGCTATGTTTGTTTGGTAAGTTGTGAAATTACTATATGTTTTCAAGATTTAGTTATTTGTACTTATCAATGGAAAATCGTGGACAGATCTTCGGAAATTATTAGTACAAAAATTTGGTATGATTGTATAGGAACTGCTAATGATAGTCTGGGAAAAAAACATGTTAAGATTGCAGGTACATTTAGAGAGTATGTGATTGGGATTGATAAGCAAAAACTTAGATGTTTGGTTTTTTTTTTAAAATATTTTGTCAATTACCAAACGCGTTTGTAGTTTATATTTTTCTAAAAATAAACAAAAATTAGTTTATAAAATTTTTGTAAATATAAACTGAAAACGTAAACGTTACCAAACACATATGTTTTCAAGATTTAGTTATTTGTACTTATCAATGGAAAATCGTGGACAGATCTTCGGAAATTATTAGTACAAAAATTTGGTATGATTGTATAGGAACTGCTAATGATAGTCTGGGAAAAAAACATGTTAAGATTGCAGGTACATTTAGAGAGTATGTGATTGGGATTGATAAGCAAAAACTTAGATGTTTGGTTTTTTTTTAATATCTAATATTGAATTTTATTGGAAAGATTTTTTCCTAATACTTCTGGCTTAGTATGATCAATCAATCTAAAACCCGGATCAATATTTCATTTTGGACTGCCTATGGTGTATATTCTATACTGCGGATATATGTTTATCAATGTCCCTTGGATCTAAAAAAGATTTAGACTTTCATGTGTTGTGGGAATTTTTTTTTTTTCTGCAAGTTTGTCGTGTTTTATAGTAAACTCCTTTGCTAAATTGGCTTCTCATGTTATTGGTTTCCAGGTGATGGTAATTTTTTCCCTGGAGAGTCAATATATGCAAATCCCAAGGAAAGTATATTTTTTCCCACTTGTCATCATGTGGACATCTATTTTCCTCCTCGCAAGAGGTCTCGCATCAGTGCCCCTTTTGTATTCAGTGAAGAAATTTTTGAGAAGCAGCAGCCAGCCTCCATTGAAGTGCTTCCTGATGAATGCCTCTTTGAGGTATTCAGACATCTCCCTGGAGCCGAAGAGAGAAGCATCTCTGCTTGTGTTTCCAAGCGCTGGCTTATGCTTTTAAGCAACATCCATAGTGATGAAATCTGTACCAAGAAAGCAACTCAATCTTTGGAGACTCAGAATAAATTAAATTCCACTAAGGCAGATGAGCCCCTAGCATGTAACAAGAAGGGTGAAGTTGTTTGTTCTAATGGTAATAAAGTTGAAGCTGAGTCTGAAGATCAAGAGATAGAGGGTGATGGATACCTTTCTCGATGTCTGGAAGGCAAGAAAGCTACAGATGTAAGGCTTGCAGCCATTGCTGTTGGAACTGGTCACCGTGGTGGATTGGGCAAGCTTTGTATCCGAGGAAGCAATTCTACACGTGGAGTGACAAACCTTGGTCTCAGGGCAATTGCCCGTCGCTGCCCTTCATTAAAGATTCTTTCTCTGTGGAATGTATCATCTATTGGAGATGAAGGCTTATATGAGATTGCCAATGGGTGTCGCCTGTTAGAAAAGCTTGACCTTTGCCAGTGCCCAGCAATTTCTGACAAGGCTTTGCTGGCCATTGCGAAGAACTGTCCCAATCTCACCTCTTTAACAATAGAGTCTTGTTCAAACATTGGGAATGGAAGCCTACAATCTGTTGGTAGTTGCTGCACGAGCTTGAAGTCTGTTTCAATCAGAAACTGCCCGCTTGTTGGAGATGAGGGGATTGCAAGCCTCTTGTCATCATCCAGCTATTTGCTGACAAAGTTGAAGCTTCAGTCTTTGAACATCAGCGATGTATCTCTTGCTGTTATTGGACACTACGGAAAGGCAATTACTGATCTAGTCTTCAGTGGCCTCCAAAATGTTAGTGAGAGAGGCTTCTGGGTCATGGGTAATGCTGAGGGCCTGCAGAAGTTGAGGTCCTTTACAGTTAACTCTTGCCAAGGAGTTACTGATATAGGGCTTGAGGCCGTGGGTAAAGGTTGCCCAAATTTAAAGCAGTTTTGCCTTCACAAATGTGCATTCTTATCAGACAATGGATTGGTATCGTTAGTCAAAGCCGCAGTCTCACTTGAGAGCCTGCAATTGGAGGAATGCCACAGGATTACCCAATCTGGGTTTTTTGGTGTTCTTGGTAACTCTGGTGGAAAATTGAAGGCTCTTGCTCTGGCAAACTGTTTGGGGTTTAAGGACTTGGCCTGCGGATTTCCTCTAATGGCACGTTGCACATCCCTGCGATCTTTATCTATCCGTAACTGCCCTGGATTTGGCAATTTTAGTTTATCTATGTTGGGTCGATTGTGCCCCCAATTGCAGTACGTGGTCCTCAATGGGCTTAATGGAATAACAGATGAGGGGCTTCTTCCGCTCATTGAGAACTGCGAGGCCGGTCTTTCAAAGGTTAATCTTAGTGGTTGTGTGAACTTGACAGACAAGGTGGTTTCAGTCATTGCCAAGTTGCATGGATTCACTCTTGAACTGCTGAATCTTGATGGTTGCAAGTACATCACTGATGCCTGCTTGGTATCTATTGCAGAGAATTGCTTATTGTTAAGCGAACTTGATGTTTCCAAGTCTTCAATTACTGATTGTGGCATTGCAGCCTTGGCTTGTGCAGACCAACTCAATTTGCAGATCCTTTCTCTGTCCGGTTGCTCTTTAATATCGGACAAGAGCTTGCCTTATTTGGTACAGTTGGGTCAGACTCTCGTGGGGTTGAACATCCAGCACTGCAATGCGCTAAGCAGCAGCATCGTTGATCTGCTTGTGGAGCGCCTATGGCGATGTGATATGCTCTCGTAAGCAATGATTGGAATTGAAAGCCCCTTTATGGACTCGGGTTGGACATAGTAGGGAGCTCCAGTCTAGGTTAACTTTGTGGGTAGCATCGGTTCTTAGTTTTTGGGTCCATTGGTTGTGGGTCTTCTTTTAGTCCAGTGACCTCGTTCCTTTTTTTCCAGGGGATTTGGCGTGCAACTCTTTTTTTGCAACTTACCTTCCATAAGGAAGCTGTTGGAAGAATTTTGGCTGCCCAAATGATGGGTCGTCGCTTTCTTCATCGCCATACTTCCCTGTGAATACAGATACGGGTTCTGGTTCTAGAATTTATTTTCCATTGTCTTTTTCTGTCACGTTGGCAGTTTGTGTTTTAGTGTAGCCGTGCATTGATATCATGCATAGGCTAAGCTTTTCAGTTTTTGAGTCTGTCCACTTTCAGTTTTACCTTTTCTTCCACGGTGTTGAAGCCTCGTGTTCTGCGCGTGATGGTTAGGTCTCTGTTTTCCTTTTTGGGGTGGGTTAAGATTCCTTGGATCTCTTCATATTTGATTTGCTTTTGGCAGTTCAAAGTTTGTGGCCTTGTTTTCTGGGGCTTTGGCTGTGGCAGCAGATTCTATCAGTTTGCCATGACAATCCTTTGGGGGTTTTTTTTCATACCAAGCCCTAGTTTTGCAGGCTTCACCTATCTTTGAACTGTATTTTGCAATCTCTTTGCTATGAAATGAAAACCAAGTTGCTTCTTTGTATGATTTCTGGTTATGTAATGATGATCTTAAATAAAAGTTTGCTAGCTTTTATGTTGTAGTGAAAATTGTGTTCTGTTAGTGATTCGGTTTGACCCTTGTATGTATGAATAATTTCTGCTGATTGATCCTACTGCAAGTTCTGAGAACTTTGTTTAGGTACATCAATAGGACACCAATTAATAACAAATAAATTTTCTGAACCAAAAATAAATAAATAAATAAATGAAACAAATAAATAATACATCAAGAAAGAAGGCCTCTTCCACGCCATTATTAGGACACCAATTTTTTTAGGGTTTCTAATGAAGAATCTCAATTAGTCATTAATGGATTCTCGAAAGGCTAATCCAATTGGTGATAGGAGCTATGCTTCATTTCCATTCTTATTTGCTTGTTTCTTCATTGTGGTTGTGCATCAACAATAATTCATGCTGAGGCATGAGTGGCATTTATTTTGGGCTGGCAAACATCATTTATATCGTTCCAAATGAGGCACGAGTGAGATGGTTTTCACACTGGGAAATGGATACAGGTATGGGATTCTTCCAATAGAGATGTAAACTGTTTACAGGGAAAAAACAGATGGAAGATATGTAAGTTTTAAAGAAATCCAAATCTTTCATAACTTCGTCAAGAGTACATTACCTGACCAGGTGATGCAGATTATTGAACAAGGGTTGTGCAAAAGCCTGTGATTTTCTATCCTACCATGATGTTTAAAAAAAAATTTGAACACCGTAGCATAGTTGAAACAAGTTAATTTAGTTGTGAAAAAACTTGAAATACTATGCTCATCACTTCTATCATTGAACCACATAATCCACCAAAAATAATGCAGGAACATTAAGTCATGACAGCAACTGTAATCAGAAAAATTTCTGCACTGATTTAAAGTAAAAGCAAACCCTAGACCTTCACATCATATGAAAACATTTGTTTCATTGTAACGATTAAAACATCCACCGTGGAGCTGCTAAGGGTAGTGTTAGTGTCAATTGTTAATTTTTGGCTAACAAGGTTTGTTGTTTGGTGCTGCAGTGGAGCAGGCAACGTTAGTACACTTTTTTAGTGTCAAGTGTTAAATTGTTTGTTAATTGCAGCGAGTGTTTTAAAGAGCGAAGAAGAGAGAGGACTGCGCCTGGGGAAGTCCTCCCGAATGTCCACCCGAAAGTCTCCTCGGACGTCCCACTAGAAGTCCACCCTGGACGTCCAAACCCTAAAAAAAGGAAAAAAAAAAAAAAAAAACACCAAAGGGCCTGCAACACATCCGACCACTAAACCAGCGATCAACTGAATTATTTTATTTATTTTATTATATTTTATTTTTTAACTATTGAGATTTTTTTTAGGCTTGAAATTTAATCTTAGGCTTGAAATTTTTTATTAAATTAAATTATTTATTTATTATATATATATACACATATATATTATTAACACACTCATTACACCACCGCTCACTCTCTAAAATTAACAAACTCTTCATACATCTTAACACACATTTTTAGATCCCACTTTTATTACTTTTTGTCATATAAAACACACCTTAACACACTTTTTTAACCATCCCGTTGTGGATGCTCTTACCTACAGTGCCAAGGTATCTAATGATTTTGCCTTCCTTGGAAACAAGAATGTCGAAACATGAGGCTCAACAATAAAACAAAACCACCCAGGATTCAAGGACATTAACAATACAACATAAAGCTCAATCAATAAACAATAACCAAATGTCCATTAGAGTAACCTTGACAGCCATACAACAACCTCATTTGTTCATGAGAGTAGAATCTGAACATCAAGTACTTCGACAATGGCCGGTCCAACAAAAGTTTTTTTCCCCAAAATTTTCCCATATGGTCTCAACAACCAGGCAACTAAAGCATATTTAGACATAAATTAGCATAACAACAAACTGACAAACAGTTATTGTACAATGCTGCAATAGGATGCACAATCCTAATGACTGAACAAGCAAATCTTGAAAGCTAAGGCACATTAAAATGAGCAAACCTTGATGCTGCCTATGGTCAAGATGACAAAACAACCCTTAACACAAGATCCTTCACGCCTTCATTGTCAAATGATTCCAAGACAAATTCATACCTCTTTGTAATATTTTGGCGAAATGGGATTGAGGGCAATAAATACATTTTCAGTTCCACTGCCCGTTGTGTTTAATTCTCCAACACAATTGGTTCCTGCACCAAGGTGGTCTGGGCTTGATCTTCAACTACAGACACATCATCCATGTTGGGCTGAGCATCGCTTGGCTCAACACTAGGAGCTGCCTCCTCTTGCATGGTAGATGCAATTTTGCTCGTCTCCTTGGGTAGGGTGGTTTTATGAGATGCAGCTAGATTCGCTTCATTGGATAAGACGGTTTTTTCGGAAGGCAGCTTGGGGAGGGACTTCCTCTGTGGCTTCTTAAGATGAGTTGGAGGTCCTTTGGTGGTGTTGTTTTGGGACAATTTCTCATCCAAACTTAACCGACCAGATCGATAGCTGTGGCTACTGTTTCCTTCAGAGTCTCTTGTGGGTGAGCTCTTTTTTCTACCAAGCTTGGGAGATTTGGCTCTTGTTGTAGGTATCTGCACCACAGAAAAATAAAGGTAACAAGTTGACAAAACAACAACTTCACGTCTGTTCTGTTGTGCCAATTCTATTTATTTCACACCTCATATGAGCAAGTTGACAAAACACTTGGCTGACATCAAACCTTCTAGCTAAAGGTATTACCCTCTAATCAAATCCTACCTTTAATGTGTAGGTAAGGGTTACCCTTAATTGTGTAACCCCAAGGAAAATTTAAAGGGGAAAAAATCAAGAAAAGGAAGAAAAGAAGAAAAAATAATACTTGGGGATAATGAAATTTAGCAAATGCAACAAGTGAAGAAAGTTTCTCTCCCAAATAAAAGGGAGAGAAGGCAGAAATTGTTGCAAATTTGTTTAATACTCTCAAAGCATAATTACCAGGAAACCTTCATCAACAGCAGAAAGCCATTTTCACAGAAGCTCATTTCTTGAACAGAGGTGAAATGATGCAATTTTAAGTGAAATGTTTAATATACTTTTTTTTTTGGACAAATGAAACGTTTAATATACTTCATATAAGGAACTGTTAAAACTCTGTAAATATTAAGAAAACTTACTAAAACAATTTCTTATACTTTTTACCATTTTTTCCCTACTCTTAGAGCTTATTTTTCAACAATCACATGGAACTTTTATTACAAGTTTCTCTGAAAAATGTTTACTTCAAACTTTTCATTTACCATATGTTTTCTAAAGCTTCATATTGCTTTTATTGAAGTTCCTAATAAATTTTCTTATTAGGATTCTGTCTGATCTCATATCATTTATTGTATGGCTTGAACCACATTTCCCACTTCCCATAATATATTTAAACCACAATTTACATTTCATTTCTCGCACAGTTCTCTGATTCTGTTTCACTTTCCCATTTTGGCAATTACGTATCCGATTGTGTCACAAGAAGATATGGTAAATGGAAAAAGATCTTGAACTTTACATATAGCAGTTGAAAACCTTTCCTCGTTCTTCAAATCACAAAATCATGAGTATATTAAAGGGTATTAAAATGGCAAAATATCATCTATTACTATTATTAAGCTGGAGCAAGGCTTGTTCACTTGGTCTATGTTTGTATCCATGGCCAAAAATATCCCCACAATCCATTTAATCTCTCCTCACATGAAAAGCCCAAATAAGTAATCTCTCCTCATATTAACAACTGCTGCCTTCCAGGTGTCATCAGATGCACTGCACGAGGTTCACCTTCTACTTGATTAGAAGAATAGGCCATGTTAAATTCAATAAGTGCCCCACTTGGAAGAAGCAAGAAGCTTGTAATGGAAAGCAAGATTATTGTTAACCACACCCACACCCACACCCACACCCACACATTGAGATAGAATCTGTACCCTTTGGACTGTCTTTAAAACCAAATCAGGAAATTTGATTTCTATGAAACATGGATACGGATACAAGATACAAATACAATACAATATAGATACGGCAATATGAGAACCAAAAGAGGTAGGATACAAGTACGGCTTGGATAAATTTGTAAAAAAATATATATTTATAAGAATAGTATCGTAATACATATAATGATATAAGCTCAAAGAATGGTTATAAATATTAGTTTAAGGCCCGTTGTTAGTTTACTTTTTAATTTTCAGTAGGTACTTGATGTAGGCCGAAAGGTATCACATTGAGGCCACTTAAATTACATTTTTAGTCTTTCAATTTTGTTTATTTGGTGGAGATGATGTGTTTCGTACACTTGTACAGATTGGTAGGAAATATGAAAATTCAATCAAAAAGGGCGCGAAAGCAAATCCTCCATGCGAAAAGTGAAGAACCTGAGCCAGCCAGACCATCGCACGTGCGGCCAAGCTTCACCGTACGTGCGGCCCACCACCGCTCGAGCGGCCCACCTAGGGATGCGTGCACGGAATTTTTGGTCTGTTTTGCAAAGAATAAAAGAAAGAAAAATATCCAAACCTAGGGTTCGAAAATTAATTCAAAGAAAATGGAGGCTAGGGTTCTAAAGAGGGATTTTTTCTCCTAAAGTTTGGACACTTCCATGGGTGCCTCTTCCTCATCTTCTTCCTCTTCCCACTCCTCCATGAATGGCTAGTCGTCTTTTCTAGGGTTTTGATGAAACCCTAGCCATGTAATTAGGTTTTTTTTTTTAATTTTCAATTATGTAAAGGTTTGAACAATTGTACGGTATTTTAGAAGTTTCATATATACATTTTCCATTATTTTTTCAAATATTCGGCTTTCTATGATTGTTAAATATTTTCCATACAAAAGTTTTCTATTCTTTCACATTCAAAGTATGAGACGAACCATACTACGAGAGACGAGTTGTGTCACTACCTTAATTTAGAGTGAACGATTCGTACTACTTGAGATGGTTTGCACTCGTACATTGAACGCGATGATTTTCTTATTAAATGCTTTGAACTTGTAGTTGCAAAGCATTATCCCGTTCGAACCATAACATAATGGATTTCAATTGGAAACCCTATTTACGTGACTAGTGGTGGACTTTTTGCCCCTATGTTTTTCCCTAAATCAGTAAATCTAATTTTATTTATAATTGATAATTAATTACTTAGTTTATTTTATTTGTTATTGAATTAGGTTATGAATAATCAATCTTTTAAAATTAATTTAGGAATTTAACAATTAAATTAATTTAATTTCACAATTGTCCCTGTGGATCGATACGGACTTGCCATTATTCTAAAAGAATTTGGTATAGTTTTGTGTTTAATTTTGGTGTGTGTAACGATCCATCAGTACTATAAAAATATCATTCCAATATCAAGTCCAAACTATTTATATTGCTCCTATACTTTTCCCTTTCACACTTGAAATTGCTCCTATGCTTTTCCCTTTCACACTTTAAGTGTTATATGCAAAAAGTATTGTACACAAATTTAATTGCAAGTATATACCTTGAAGATATCTTCTATTTTAAAATTTTGGAATCATTCTCAAGCTTAAAAACTGGAATAATGGAAATAGCTGGACAGGCCACAAGTTTTTCTTCTAGCCCTCCCAAAGTCACCAATAGAAGGAATGTGATGTATCCCAAAAAATTTCACCACTTCAAAAAAAACTTCTCCTCATATTAATCCCTCATGAACACTTGCATTCACATGAATCTCCAACCCCAAAACTCTAAACAAAAAATTAATTTTTATGCATAAATATATTATTTTCTTCTCTTGATAATGAATAAGTCAAATCACCTTCAAATTGGGATGAAAAATTCTAACCATGTACTTGCCCAAAGTCCTTAAATTATGTCAACATCTTCGGCTTTAAAAATTAATGCCATAAAGATGCCAGCCACCAGGGTGAAAAAAAGAAAAAAGAGAAAAAAAAAAAAAAAGGTCACCTTATTCGCAACTAAAACTGTAATAACCCGACCCTCATATCTGTTACTGGTATATTTTCAGTCTCACGTTCTGTGCATTTAAATGTTTATTGTGAAATTTTATGAGGAATTAAGTTTAAGTACATGGGTCTTGTGATTTGAAATCCATATCTGTTTGGTAAGAAAGTTATCTGTCACCATTAGAATGTTTGAATCAGAAATTGAGGGTCCTAGAGGCTTGATAATCCGAAAGTGATTTTACATTTGAAATCAGCATAATTTTTAAGTAATAATAGTCACTTCCGTAGAAATTTGATTTGGAATAATTAAATCGATTGAATTTTGTCCTCATTCACTTTTATATATATATATGGTTCCCTAGGCTTTTGACTTAGAATCAAGAAACCCAAAATATCCTGAGAAGGTTAGGAAAAGAATTAGGGAAAGGAGGAGAAGACCTACAAGGAAGAGATTGAAGAATTAAAAGAGAGTGTTAGAGATTGTGAAGCTCAAGGGCACACTCCGGGAGGAACTAACGCTCCGCTACAACACTGTGAATAATAGTGCAATCAACGTATGTTTATTTACGGTTAATGTTTATTGCTGTTAACGTTTTGTCTTCCGTAAGTCACTACATTAACATGTATGTTGGTCGGGAATTGGTGTGAATGTAAACGTTGAAGGAATTTGTGTACATCTGGATCACTCTGGAACTATTCCGTTCTGTCATTTCTGGGCCGATAGCCGTTCTGTTATTTCTGGGCCGATGGCCGTTCCGTTACTTCTGGGCCGATGGCCGTTCCGTTATATCTGGGCCCAAGGCCGTTCTGAAAGTAACACGACATCAGATTGACCATATGAACTCTGTAGTTACATACGCGTTGTTATGTATTATAATTTGACTTGTGCATTGAACTGTTTAAATACTATTATTCACTGAGCTTAGCTCATGCTGTATTTTGTCTGTTTCTGTAGGTAATCAACAGAGGGGTCAAACCTAGCCCCGATACCGTGTCCCTTTTGTCAACCTAAGGATAGCTAGGCACTTGGAGAAGCCCGTGCATTTTAGTGAAGTTTGGTTGGGTTTTTGGTTTGTACTCTAATTGCCGACTGCAGTTGAAATGTAAATAATACTTTTGTTATACGCCCAATCTCAGGGCCGGGTCTGTTTATACGTATGTGTATAACCGATGCTCCGATGCATGTTTCTGTATATTATTTTCCTGTTATGCTGTTTGTGATCCTGGCATAGTAGTGATAGCTCAATGGAGATTGTTTTCTGTTATTTTTTTTTTTATATGTTTAATGCTTCCATTCAGGCCCCGTATGTTATGTATATCAGGTTAACTGTCCGTTTCTGAATAAGTCATGCCCAAACTTTTAGGGGCAAGTTGAAGGTGTGACAAAAACAGCATCTAGGATCAGATGCCTCCAAATAAGAGCAATTTGTAAGAAGAGACTATGTTGTAAAAATTCTCCAATATTCTTGAGAGCTCACTCACTATAATCTTGTGAAGATTGGTAATCAAACTACTAGGCCTAACATAGAGACATCTTTAAAGGAAACAAACACAACAATTCTGGGATTAAGGCAATGAATGTCAAATTAGTACTAAGACTTGTGATGCATCGCATATAATTTGTCAAAAACATTCATGCATTCAAAAAACAAACCCTTCTATTATAATAGGAATCCCGTTGACAATACCACAAATCTCTGGCGTTTGTAAGGCTAATAAACAAGCTCATATGGAGAAGAAAGACAAATAATGTTTCGGTTCTAATTGAAACATTTCTCTCTCTCCCTCTCTCTCCAGAATGAGATTGTTCCCTCTCAATCCTCTCCCTTCTATTCTCTTGTGAACAAGAGGCTTGGAAGTCACAATACACACAAGTACACTACATCTCCTGTATCATACTTCTCTCTCTTCTCATTCTATCACTTTCATATCAAAAGGAAAAATCAGTACGTGTTAATTGTCCACGAGTGCTTAGATTGAGCCCCTTGATCTACCTAAATGTGATTGTAATCCTGCACATTGAGCCCCTTTATCTACCTAAATGTGGCTGTAATCCTGCAGATTGAGCCCCTTTATCTACCTAAACGTGACGCTACTTAACAAACTTCTAACTAATTAGCTTAGGAAATAAAATAGGGAACACAACTACTACTAGATGGAATATTTGTATAAAAAGAATTCAAGTCGTCTCTTTTACAGCCATATCCAGTAAATTCAATTTATCAAGCAAATTTTGCTATGTCAATCATAAAAAAGGAACATGATGCACAATACAAAGGACCACCAAATAATTGTAACATCCCATTCCACATCAGTTGGCTAGCAAAAGTTCCTAGTATAAGTGAGTTCACATTCCATTCTAGTAACTTATTTATCAAAAAAAAAAAAAAATTCCATTCTAGTAACAACGCATTTCAAAGTCTTACCCTCATTTAAATTTTAAATAACCAAGTCCTTTCTTATGCCTCAACTTGTTTTCTCCTATTCTTTTACCATCCTAAACGTGGATCAGATCACTCTTTACAAACACATTAATTGGTCTACAGTGCACATGAGTTTTGCCTCTAGAATAAATCAAATTATTAAAGAAATATGTAGAGCTTAATGAGCTGGTTGGATAGTCCCCATAGGCCTCATTTGATTCTTGGATTAATTTAGAGGGGTAATGGATGGGATTACAGGGCTGGCCCACCCTTATCCCCCATCTTCTATGAAGCACGAACACCACTCCGAGGGCTATGTTTTAGTGTTGGACACGCGGTGGACACATGTCCGACACGTCCCAGAAGGTGTCCCTTTTTTTTTTTTTTTGATTTTTTTGCAGCCAGACACACTATGGACATGTTTTGGACACTGCGGAGCCAAAAACATGATTTTTGAAACTTCAATTGGGGGTTAATTTGTTAAAAAACAAAAATTAAAGCAAGTAAACCCAGCCCTAACCTAGATATCGAACAGAAAGAGGAGAAGAGGCTGAGAGAAGACCGCTCGCTGCTCATTGCTCTTGTGAATGTATGTTCTTCGATCATCTTCTTCTTTCGATCTTATTATTCTGCTTTTTGATCTCTATCTCTCTCTCAATCGCTCTCTGTCTCTCAATCGCTCTCTCTTCTTCTTTCGATCATCTTCTTCGTTCAACTTCTCTCTCTCTCTCTCTCTCTCTCTCAGTTTCTCAATCTGTCTTTCTTCATTTTTCTTCTTCTTTTTATGTTGAATAGTTCTGTCTCTTTCTCTCTACAATTTTTATTTTTTATATTGTTCTTTTTTCTTTTTTTTACTTTTCTTGTCTCTATCTATTATTTATTTATTTATTATTTATTTATATTCTTTTTTTTTTTTGGGCTGATTACTTTATAAGAATATATTAGTTTTTGCTAATTTTAATACTATCTATTTATTAATTTTATTATAGGAACCAATTTTTATTAATAGTGTTATTTTTTATTTTTTTATTACCTTTTAATAAATTTTTTTTTTATAATTTTATGACATGTAATAAATAAATTTAATTATATATATTGAACGTATCCCCAGCGTGTCGTATCCCCCATTTTTTGAAAATTTACGTGTCCGTGCTTCATAGCCCATCCTAATCCCACAATCAAATAGGGCCATAAGAGTGTTCAATTTTTACTCTTGTGAGGTAATAAGGCTCCAAGTGTGTCATGTTATGAACAAAGTGTGAAATTTGTTACCTTCTTTAACTCAGGCTTAGGAGGTGGAGGTTCTTGATAGAAGCTTGGCATGGGTGTCGCTTTAAAAGTCAAGCTTTTTCTTAACATTTTAATCTCAGCTTCTTGACTTTCCTGTTTGAGAATTATATAATTAGTCATTCAAAAACTTTTACTGCATAATAAGCCCACCCAGAAACTTTGCAACCATTAGTATGGCATTATTTACCTTGGATTTGGCTTGCAAGGTACTCTTTTCTACTTCCTTTGCATGAATCTTTTCCTCGAGTTTGGTGTAGAACTGCCCAAACAAAATATAAGTTGTCGTCTCAAGTGACAGGCACAGATCCCACTCTACGGAACTACATTGACAATCATAATGACACAAATAAAATCTAACCTCTTTTCTTTTCTCAGCTCTTTCATAACACCGGAAACTGAAATTATAGGATGGAAGAGTACCCATTCTATGGGGTTTGGCATCTCCTTCAGTGGGGCTTCAGACAAGTAGTTAAGGATATGCTAATAATAATATGAATGAACAAAGTTACTCTTTCAATAGATGGGTGTCCAGGAAACCAGGATACCACCACCCCTTCTGAAACATAAAAGAAAAGGAGGTCACAAAAGAGTCAGCGCATATAGGATACGAAGTAGATTCTATGCTTCCTTCAGCTTTATTTGGAGGGCCTTTTTTCAATGGTTTGAGTTTTGTCTTCTCCCTGTGGTAAGAAAATTACAGTACACAAAATTGTCAATAATAGATAAAACCCAGAGTACTAGCTGAATGTCAAACAAATCAAAAATTTCAAATGGATGTGGCCACTAGATTCCAGATGGCCTCCCTTGTCCTCTCTCACACAATATTGACATCGGAGCTATCAATTTTATATAGCTGTTGAGATCCATGAGATTAGGAGACAAGTACTATAGTTACAAGTGCAAGCTGAACATACACAAGGCCTTCAGACTCTGTTGCATTAACGGTGGATGATGTTGCATCAGACTTTCCAGATTGCTGGCAAATGGAGAATTGAAACTATAATTAGTAATATATAATAATCAAATACAAAAGCGAACTAATGTGTACATTCACATCAATCTACAACAGTGATAACAATGAAAGAAAGGGCAGGATCAATGTTTACCTTGGGTATGCGAGCATTGATAGGTTTAGAGTTACTGTCAGCAACCTCTCTGTCATTAAATGATCTACTCTTTGTTCCAAGGGTAGTAGACTGCTTTGGGCGTGAATTAGAAGCCAAGGAACCATTTGGAAGAGCAGAAGCTGTCTCCATATCTTTTCCATCTTTACTCTTTCTCACCAAGGTTGTTGAAGCAAGTTTGGGGCTAGAAGGCTTCTCATTTTTGGCCTTACCTAGACCCTTTTGCGGTTTAGGACCCGTTGACTGATTTGTTTCTTTCACTCCAAGTTCCTTGAGGTAAGATGGACATAGAGGTTGGTTTCAAACAAACCAATATTGAGTTACTTGCATTTCCCATTTTCAACAAATATAATATATATGCATATATGCACGTGTGCGCGCGCGCGCGTGTGTGTGTGTGAGAGAGAGAGAGAGAGAGTGATGGGCTACTACTCTAATAACACAACAAATACCTCCTACCTTAGAGGTAATCAAACCATTACTTTCGGCACGTGCGGTTATTCTGTCTGGTTCTGCTTCATTAGATGAGTTGCTGGTTCCACCATCCTCCAACTTGGCAACGTTTTCTGGATTCCCATTTGGCCCTGCAATATCAGACCCAATAGCAGGAACCCCATTCACTTTCCCCAAAACAATGTCTTCTTCTATAGGGGAAGGAACTTGTTCAAGAACTCCATTTCCATGGCTCATCCCGTTTGTCAAAAAAGGTACATCATTTTCAGCATCCATTGCAGGCTGTAAATCTCAATAAATTCAACACATAAGAACTACACGATTTTAGATTTAACTGAATTCAAAAACAAAGGTTTCAGATAAAATTTGAAACACGAGACACCTTTTGCGTCCAACCGAGATTAAAAGAAAAGCAAATGCTAAAGAGTGGCTCCCTTTATGAACCATGTTCAAGCAATCAGTTTCCTGTCCCATGATTTTACCGTGAACCAAATGGTTTTGTATTCAAACCCTGAACTATTATAATTACTCTTGGCATACAACAGTTACATAATTAAGAAAATAAAAACAACTTATATACAGATTCCAACAACAAATAACAAAAAAGATATTAAAAAAAAAAGAGCAAAAACTACTAACACACAAAAATGATTAATTGGTTTGTTTAGATGAAGAGAAAAATTAGTAAAATACGAGAAATTCAATGTCTTTTTCTTCTCTTTTTCGCTCAACAAATTTACCCACTCCAACCAAGGCCAGTGAGTTTCTACTTCACCAAAAAAACCCACACACACAAAAAAAAAAACAGATCCCATAGTCTTATTTTCATCAAATTATCAAATTAATTAATTAAACAAATAAACAAGAACAGTGACCAAGTAAGTATATGTATAGGGCATCAATCAATCAGTAGACCCAAAATCTCACAAACCCATCAACAGAAGCAAATCAGTAAGCAACATGCAAGAGACAAACAAGGAAATGAGCAAACTTGACTAGATCTTCAAACCCATGATGCAAAAGATCCAGAGCTCGATTCTAAGATTCACCCAAAATGAAGATCCACGCATTGAAACAAAAGATACCCAGATTGAACCCATCGCTTCACATAAATCTCTTTGAAAACACAAATGCAAATATATATATATATATATATATACAGAGAGACAGTGTGTAAGTAAGTAAGTAAGTAAGTCCGTATAGTTACCTATTTAAGCCTCAAAAGAAGACCATTGAAGTGAGAGGATATAGAAGGATCTGGGGAAGTAGAGAGAGAGTGAGATTGAATCCGAACCCTAGGACTGTGATCTTGGCGAAATTGGATGAAACTCAACTGAAATCGAGAGAAATGAGAGTAGTATGTGTGTATTTTGAGTGTATAGGATTTGATTTTTGAAATGCAAAGGCTCTCTCTCTCTCTCTCTCTCTGTGTCTTTCAAAGGTGTCTCTTTTGTGTTGTGGTTGTGCCAGCGGCTTTCAAATCCATTTTCCAGGTCACTCCTCGTTTAGAGAGAGAGAAACACATACATTGAGAGATAGATACATTTTTCGGACCACCACCGTTTTTTAGAGAGAGAAAAAAAGGAGAGAGAGAGAGAGAGAGGCTTATGTGAGTTTTAGAGAGAGAAAGCGGGAGATATACGGTTAGCGAGAGAGAGAGAGAGATGGGGAATGTGGTCATCGCTGATGGTGCCATGTCATCCAATTTGTGGGTCCCACATGACGTGGCAAGATCAGGGGCGTATGTGACCAGTAGCGGTTGCATCGCTATTCTGCTTTGCGATTTCAAAAATAATTTTTTTAATTTTTAATTCGTATTTTTAATTAGGATAAATTACGAATATACTCTTAAAGGTTTATTTAAAATATAGATTGTCCTTTATAGTTTGAGAAATTATAAATAGTTCCTTGTTAGTATTTTTTATTTAACAAAATTAATTAAAAAAATAAAATTAATAATTACTCTCGTATACAATAATAAAATTACATAAATTATTAATTGAAACATATTTATAATATCATTAAAAACTGTTAATTGACTTGATGATTTATTAATAAAATGGACGATTTAATATGAAATTAGAAACCTCAGATGGTGGAATGTAATTTTCAAAACCATAGAGGACGATTCGTATTTTAATCAAGCCTCAGAGGATGTATTTGTAATTTACCTGTTTAATTATTTTTTAAAATATTTTAATTCATTTTTTTAAAAAAATTAGATCTATTTAATCTTAATATATTTAAAAAATAAGAAATTTTTAAAAAATTCATTAAATACAACAAAATATGAAAATATATTGAATCTTTATATATTTTTATATATTTTTTGTATTTAGTAATTTTTTTTAAAAAAAATACACAAATATTATACTTTTTAAGTGTATTTAGATTAAATATATTTAAAATACACATATATATATATATATAATATTAAAAAAATTCACGAAAAATAAAACGACATTAAAAATAAAAATAAAAAACTTAATTTTCTGAAATAAAATATGGTACACTGAATTATTTCATTATTTTATTTTTAAATTATTAATATTACATTAATTCATAAAAATTTTAATTTCAACTAACGTTACATTAATCTTACCTCCACCGCATCCTCGTACATAGGTTAACTTACAAGAGATGTAACTAACAGCTCGCCAACTACTCAATGTCTGGGCATGTTGGGCTGCAATTAAAAAAGTAACTTATATTTACGTGATGTAAAAAAATGCCTTTCAAACAGCATAAGTGGATATTAACTTATCAGTAATGATAGAGGCCCTGAATTTTCCAAGCTCGAATGTCTCGAATTGACCAAAATAACGTCGTTTTAGATACAAAACGACGTCGTTTTGGTCAATTTAAACCATTTGAGCCGCGAATATTGTGGCCACCAAATATTTTCCTTAACTTATATAACAAATACTCTCTCTAAATGGGAGCTTCTCTCTCTAGAATGGGAGCTTCTGTCTAGTTTTCTTCTGGCTTTCTAGGGTTTTGTCCTTTGCCTCACCTACTCTCTTCTATTTCTTTCTCTTTTTCGGATTCTACTTTCCTTTCTTCTCCCCGATTTTCTCTATTTCCCCTTTGGCAGTGGCCTGAAGCAGTGGCCTGAATGGCAGCTAGCTCCCACCCATCCCCGTCGTCTCCTCCTTTACCTGGTGCTGAAGGTTTATCCTTGGAAAAAGATAGCGAGGAGAGCGACGACACATCCAGTAGGTGTCTGATCGGAAAAATTTTGGCTCCCAAGACTCTGAACAAAACGGCGGTGTCTAACATTATCCGAACAGCTTGGAGAACTCGTGGTGAACTCACTATATCTCCTTGGCAGGACAATGTGTATCTTTTTCAAATTAGTGAGGAAGACGACCGTCATCGCGTGCTCCGAAATAGTCCTTGGTCTGTTATGGGGTGGCTTTTGATCGTGCAACCCCTTTCACCAAGTCAGACTGCAGAGGAATTGGATTTCTCTTGGTGTCAATTTTGGGTTCAAGTCCATGGACTCCCAATCCAAAAATTGACCAAACAGAATTGTGAGATTTTGGGGCAAAAGATTGGCCGTTTGGTTCGTGTTGAAGCGCATATTGAGGGTCTTCTTTTCTACAAAAGTTTCTTAAGAATTAGAGTAGCCATTGACGCTCACCAACCGCTACCACGGGGTTTGTGGCTGCAAAGGGGTCCGGGAATTGATGATCTTTGGCTATCTTTCAAATATGAGAAACTCTCTAACTTTTGCTATGATTGTGGAAGGTTGGGACATGAGAGTAACTCCTGCAAATTTGTATCCAAAGAGAAAGGTGCACTATCTCACTATGGCCTGGCGCTCAGAACTACCATTGTTGGCTTTACTGGTCTTCCTAAAGAATATTATTGCCGGCGAGTGGATGACTTAGAAACTAGTTTGGCACCAATTTTAACTGGCCGGAACCAACCACCGGAGCGTGCTCCAACGGTACTGCCACCACATACAGATACGTGCACCACTCCTACACAGCCTCTGAATCCCACTTCCTTGGCAGAGCCATGCAGAGAACAGAGCTCCCATCCCACAACACTGTCACGTGTTGTATTACCAAAGCTCCTTTTTCAGCTGATGTTGGCTCCAAGAGTACTCTCCTCCAGCTCTTGGCCCAGGTCAGTCCACTTCCATTCCCAAACCTTCAGGTGGATAGTGGGCCTCTATCTAGCCTGAGGCCCAAGAAAAGCCCGAACCCAAATAATGAACCATTTTATGGGGATTATAGGGCTCCCACTAGGCCCCTTTATTTTGTAACCGAGCCTCCTGATAGCCCAAACTACAGAAGGGCTTTAGACAATATTACTTCAGACCAACTAAGGTGCCTCCACAGAACACTCTACATGATCCTAGTCCAAACAAACCTTTATTTACCTCCGGTCTTGCTCTTGAAGGCTGTCTTTCTCAAGCTCTATAACACTTAACCCTTAAAAGGAAAGATTTTGCAACTGTTGACCTGGACTCCCATTGGAACAAACTTCAGAAAGTAGAAGGGGATTTCCCTCAACTGCTATTGGAAGCTCCGACCCAGCAGCCACATGTACTGGGGTCAACTCAGCTGGCCATAACTCTACTCCAGCAGATAAGAAGAGAGGCAAAAGGGGTACACCCCGTGGCAAACGAATTACTCCTGTGAGAGATCTGTCTTTGGTCAATGTAGTTATTCAGAATGCTGAGACAGAGCTTGAGACACCGATACCAAGCCAGGTATGTTTCACCCCTGCTGTCATTGAGATTGAAGATTGTATTTCCCAAGTTCCCAGTTCGTGTCCAGAAAATGGCTCTGTTGTTAACTCATGGGCTTTGGTGGCTGGCCCTAACAAGCCACAAGATAAATGTTGATTATCAACTGGAATTGTCAGGGGATTGGACGACTCCTGACAGTCCAGATCCTCCGAGGGTTGTGCCAAACCCATCGCCCTGCAATAATGTTTCTTATGGAAACCAAGAATAAATAATCCTTCTTGGAAAGAATTAGAAGAAGATTCCATTTCACAAACCACTGCTATGTCGATCCGGTGGGAATTGCTGGCGGCCTTGCCCTGTGGTGGACAGACGAGGTGGACCTTCAAGTGCGAATGTAATCTCAGAATGTCTTCAGGTGTCTCATTGCCTCCAATGGTATTGCCACAGATTGGTTAACTACCTTTGTGTATGCTCCTCCCCGATGGACTGAAAGGAAACGGTTCTGGAATGATCTTTAAGCGATGGTAGCTGTTAATAGCTATCCCTGGCTTTGCTTAGAAGATTTCAATGAGATTGGCTGGTCTTGGGAAAAACAAGGGGTCAGAGGGAAAAAATAGGGTCAGAATGCATTTTTTCCAAGAGTTTATGATGGATTGTGAATTAATAGATATAGAGTTCAAAGGGGCTCCGTACACATGGACAAACAATCAAGAAGGTGAGGTGAATGTCCGTGAATGACTGGATAAAGTCTTGGCCACCGTGGATTGCCGACACTTGTTTCCTTATGCTCAAGTCCATCACGAAGCTCTCATCGGGTCCGACCATTGTCCTTTACTACTTCATTGCGTGGTCGGTCCCTCCGAAGAGAATTCCTCGACTTTTTAAGTTTGAGTCTATGTGGACCTTTTATCCTGAATGTGCTGCGATTATTAACTCTTGCTGGGCTGATGGTAATCAAGGATCACCAATGTTCCATCTCTGTGAGAAACTCATGGCTTGTAACCGTAGATTGGCCTCTTGGGGAAAGAGCAGATTTAGAGATAACCGGATTAGAATCAATGCTCTCAAACTAGAACTTCAACAGATTCAAGCTAGTCCTTATTTCGCTACCAGGATGGCAACAATTCGAGACCTACAGAGGGAGTTGGAGACTGTGTTGAACCAAGAAGAGATGTATCAACATTAGCGGTCTAGGGTTAATTGGCTCAACTATGGGGATAAAAACTCCTCTTTTTTCCATGCAACAGTGGTTTAGAGGAGACAGAGAAATCAACTAGTGAAACTCTTGTCTGAGGAATGGGAGTGGTTAGAGACTGATGAGGCAATCAATGAGCATCTACTTGGTTATTTTCAGACTCTTTTCCAAGTAATGGAAGACAGGGATTTTACGGAGGCTCTATCGGTCATCACACGAGAGGTTTCAGAGGAGGTAAACGTTGAGCTGATTAAACTTGTTACAGATGAAGAGATCAAAAATGCGGCCTTTCAGCTGGGCTCTCTCAAAGCCCCGGACCAAATGGGTTTCGAGGCATCTTCTATCAAAATCATTGGGAAATTGTGGGTTCTGATGTGTGCTTCGCGGTTCGGGAATTCTTCTATTCGGGGTCTGTTCTTCCGGAATGGAACAACACTAATCTTGTCTTAATTCCCAAGGTAACGACACTGGAGAAACTGGTACACTACAGACCGATCAGCCTGTGTAATTTCAAAATGAAGATTATCACAAAACTTATGGCAAACCGCCTCAAGCGCTTCCTCCACTATTTTATATCCCCTAATCAGGCAGCTTTCATTCCCGAAAAACTCATTCAAGATAGTATTCTGGTGGCACATGAAGGGTTTCATTTCTTGAAGCAGAAAAAAAAGGGGTGACAAGTGGATTTAGC